GCATATAATAATCCAAAAAATCGTAAGACAAGCAAAAAACGTGTCTTGTTTGTATCACTGCGACAAACTTCGATTTTTGTAAATCGTAGCTGTGATACACAAAATATTAATTAGGCAAATTGTGTGGAGTACACAAAATATTAATTAGGCAAATTGTGTGGAGTATCATTAGAGAAAACGCGTAAACCTGTTTTACAAATGAAATTTTTTTCTTGTCTAGAGTTTCAGGAGTCAGTAGGTGAACTATATATTTTATTACTAAATTTTGAAGTTTGATCGAATATTTGTCACACTTTTTCTTATGTGCTTTCTTGTTGTAATAGGGTTAAACCAACTAAACTCATAAAACTCTAATGTTATTGTCATTTATCACCGTCATTAACTTTGCAAAGCAGATTGCTATATATGTTTATCAAATGGTTATTTTAAACACAAATCGAGTATTAGAAACTTTGATGTGTTTGTATTGTTACAATAAGTGGCTTCAAACTAAACAAATAAGGCAAATTAAGCTTTCAAGAAAATCAATTCTAAGTAGTTACAAAAAAATTTCTTCAGTTTTCCTTCATTTCAAAAAATTTATTTGAACACAATTGTAACAATGTTTAAAATCGGAAAATATACTCTACTCACACCAAAATCACCCACCGAGAAGAAACCTTCACGAAATAAACAGTTATACGCACTTTTTCTCATATTTTTTTACACATTTGGAGAACTTTTCACTTTATGTTTGAGAATCCGAAACGAGAAATTTAAAACTCAAACTTTGGTGCAAATAGCTCTACGTCTGATACGAGATTCGAGTTTATACTTTTCGGTGATTTATTCTTGCATCACAGTGAAAACAATGATGCGAAGTTGGTACCACTTGTTAAAGGATTTATCATGTGCAGCTCACACTGATATTAACGTAAAATATTCGCCCTCAGTGTGTTTTCTTATTATATGGATTGTTACTACTTGTTTTCATTTCTCCTGTATACAACATTTTGCACTTCATATGAAGTATCATTTTTTCGATATTTTTAAATTGTTTTCACAATTTATTCACACAATTGCGGCTATTGAGTTGTTACAAATGGTGAAACAGTGCTACCATTTGCAAAAAATAAATGTACGGCAATTTAGTTTGAAGGGAGTTTTCCCCGACGTTTTTATTTTGATGTCTTTAGAACACAATTTAATTTTACTCAAAAACTGTGTTATTAATTTTAATAATATTTTCGGCTGGAATATTCTGTGTAGTCACATTTTTGTAGTTTGCAGGACGATCATTTTCATTGACGACAAATATAAAGGATTTTATGGAAAACAAAATAATATTTATTTAAATAAGTATTTCGAATTGTCGACAAAAATAATTAATTTGGTGTACTTGTGGATTCTTCAATTATATCTTATAATACTTTGCGATCAAACTTTGAAAAAATTTGACGATATTTTGGCCAAAGTTAAATCCCATTCGAATGCGAAATGTTGTGAGAAATATTGTTTTAAAAAAATGGAACTTTGTCGGCCCACATTTTCAGCTGCAAGGTTTTATAGTCTTGACCTGTCTACATTTCTTCATCTTGTAAGTGCTATAATAACATTTTTAATTGTATTGTTACAATTTTAAGTCAATTAAATTTTTTCTCTGATAATTGTCTTTTGCAATCATACCAAAACAAATATAAATACATACCGCGATACTGTTTTAACTCTGAACATATTGTTTTTGTTAATTATTTTTTGCGCGATTAAGCTCTATTATTTGATTGTTTACCACGTCTGTTTCCAAGACCGTAAGTTGTATTTACTCCTTGCTATCCCAAACTCGTCGGTAAGTATTTTGTTTATTAATAATAATTGTCGCTTCGCTCCTTTTCTAAACAATTTTCGATCGGTAATAGTATATTACATAACTAGCACGGAAAGTGATAAATAACGCACAAGCGGGAAAGTTGCGCACGAGGCGTTAGCCGAGTGTAGGCAATACCGCGAGTGCGTTAGACACTCTCCTGCAAGTTTTGTACACTATTTTTCCTACGACCATAAATTTTTTTTTTCTTACGAACATGGAATGGATATGGAACATGTAATGGATACAAAAAATACGTTAAATGAAAAAATACAAAACATTCGAACCACCAAAACGGTTTAGAGTGATTCTCAATAACTTTTTCAGTTGAGTGATATTGCCGATTGCAAATTTTAAAATTGACACAGTGTATATTAAACGCAATTAAAATCATCAACTACGAAAAAACTTAAGGAAAGCTATTTTTTGATTACAATTTACACAAGAGTAGACAAATTTATTTTAAAAACAATTATAATAAATTTGCAAATTGAAATTGACAATACATATTTGATTTATTTGATGGCATGATCTGAAAATGACGTGTCTAATTGTATTTATTTTTTATCTTTTACAAAAAAATCAATGATTTTCTAAATGGAAAATATTTAAAAACATTATTAGACTTTTTATAAAACGCCCAAAATTTTCCGTGATATTGTAAAAACCCTGCATTTATTCATTCATTTACAATTTGCCTAGTCGTTTTCAAAATGACTAGGCGTTTTATAAAACGACTCAATTTACAATTGGCCTACGACATATACAGGGTGCGCCAGAACTCGCGCCCAAGAGAAAAATGCCATATACCAGAAACATGGAAAAAATGTTAAAAAAAAATTATCTATAAAAATTTCGAAGTTATGAGTGTTTAAAATTTGCACTTTGACTCTATTTATTTCTGTTGTAAAAATAATTTTCCAAGTTTTTTTGCTATAGGCTATTAAAAGAGGAAACAAGGAAGTTGTATCCTAAATTGTAACTCTATTCCATGTTATTTTTGGCTTTTATTGGCAAAATTTTTGTCCCTTTACTAAATAATTGTAAAAAAAACATTAACAAGATCAGGAACATTAAATAGATACAAAAAAATGTCAAATGTCAAAAAATTAATGTCAAAATTTTTTGACAGATAGAATTTTTTAAACATTTTTTTCATGTTCCTGGTATCTTACCTTACTTGAAAATTTTCTCTGGGCCGCGAGTTCTGGCGCACCCTGTATAAAAAGTCCCTTAGCGTCGTCGAAACATATACGGTAGGCCGTGTTTTAGATATGGGAGTAGAAAAAGAATCACTATTAGACTTTAAAATTTTAGATAATTTGTACTGATGACACCAAAGTCGACATTACGTTGTTTGTTCACGCCATGCCTGTCAATAACTAAGTGAATCGATTTTCTTTATTTAGATGGGGTTAAGGACTATTTTTTATTGACACTCGATAAAAATAAAAAAGTTTTATTTACTTTATTTTATTTTATTTTACTTATTATTGATCATAACCTTTAATTTCCTAAGTTTATGCGTACAAGTTAAGACTCATCCTGTATAGTAAGAGATTGTTCGACCTTTTTGAATCACCGTGTATGTGTGTAAAGTGTCCTGCTTTACAACATTAAAATAAGAAGTGTAGGATATCTAAACGGTGTGACAGTCACGATTATATTTTATTTAATGTTCTTTTAACTACCAGACAATAACAAAATAATATATGACTGTCATGACATTACACACAAGACTTTACCATTTACTTATTGCATAAACTTTGTTAAAAAAGTTATGGTAATATTGCTTGACGAGAATGGTAAAGTAGTTACTTCATTGCATTTGATATAAGACATTTATTATCATTTGCAATTATAATTACTACATATTTGATAATAAGAAATTAGCAAATCATTTAGGTTTAAAGAGAGTCTATGTGCTTTGTTATTTGCAATAATTTAGGTACTGATATTAAATATGAATATAAAATTTGTGATCAAATACTTATAGGTTATATGAAATAGGAGGGAAAGAATAAATAACTCATATTAGATAGTGTAATAAACAAAAATCTTTGACACTCCATTATGAACTTGAGTTGGTAATTAACTTAAAAAAAAAACATTTTTTTATTTTTATCTTTATTTTACTTGAGGACCCAGAAGAGAAATAAAATTGTCTTATACTCGTAAGAAAACGCTACAAAAACCTAAAGGAATTAATAAATAGGACACGGTTTGTTTATGCAAATACATTCCTATTATAATTTGACAATTATATTTCTTTTCACCCGTTTGATGTAATCTGGGTCTTTTTGGGTTAGACCGCGTCAATTTATAAGGAAAGGCCAACCCAAAAAGACCTAGATTTTATTATTGTTCAAAACAAATTTAGTTAATTTAGGATAGCAACTTAGAATTTTACACTAGACTATACAAACCTTATATTGATGGAAAGCTTGTCAAAAGATCTTTTGATTGGTATGTACAAAAATAAATAGAGGGTGCTATTTGAAAAAAATGAGTTTTTGACATTTTTAATTTGTCATGTTTAAAAAAATCGCAGTAGGCACATGCCACTGAGCAGGTTGTTAACTAAACACTTAAAAGATGCGGCAAACATTCAGGAATCAAACGGCGTTACTTACTTTAACTTGTGTGCAAGCATTTAGAAGGTACGAATTTTTAGACAGACCTCCGCATTTCAAAAATTCTGGTAAAAAAGCGCCACAAATCAAAATTGATAACAGATAAATGAAAACAACCTGTATAAAAGTTATTTCTAATTTAGCGTAGAATCCAAAAATAAAATCAAACTGAATAGATTCCATTTAAAAAAAACATAACTTTAGTGTTTTTTTAATATTGGGACACCTGTATATAAACCGCAATATTTTTAAAATGTGCCGCAGGAACGCAACTATAATCTAAAGAAAAGAAAAAGTTAGTATCTCCTAACATAAACAAGTTATAGAGGTTTTTCGGACCGTTGGGACAGCCTGTATGTTGAATTTTATACATTGTTTCTATACTTGGAACAAAGCGTGTATACACTCGAAAAAGTCTTTTACAAAGAAAAATACCTAATTAATAAATGAAATTTAATTTATAGCGTGAAATTAGATGAATTAAAATTCTCGTAATTAATTACTAATACACTTTTTTCTTTCAGTGCTCTCGCCGCCTACAAACCTGTCCTCCGCGACTTGGCGAAAATCCTCCTCATCCTCAACCGCAAGTCGGACCGTGTCGCTGTGCCCGACGACTGGGAGCACCTCTTCAACTGGGCCGAAAAAACCCTCAAACGCTACAAACGAATGAGCGACGTATCGCAACCCCAAGTCGCTCAACTAATCAACTTCCTGCAAGGCCCTGTATTACCCATTCAAGATGCCGAAATCAGGAACAGCACCACACTGTCCACCTTCAAACCCGACCAGGTCTTCGGGTCGTCCCTGAGTTTGCAAAGTGCCGCCATAAAGAATTTCAACAGCAATTATGACTCGGCGCTTCATGCGACTCTGAACCCCCAGTGGAAATTCGAGTATTCACTTGTTAATTCGCCCACGTCGGAGTTTAATCCGGCGGTTTGGAAGAATAGTAAAGAGTACCTTAACAGTTCCTTGTTTTTGGACGATGATTTCTGCCAACTGGGATTTAGGCCCCAGGATGAGATTACAACTGAATTGTGACGGAAGGCTTTCTCGTCACTTTTAAACCAAATTCTATTGCTAGTCATGTATTTTTTACCTTGTATTATGGTAGTTTAAGAATGATTTAGAGTTTTAAGTGAACCCAGTGTACATTTTTTTTATGTAAATTAATTAATCTTGATTTGATCGCGATATTTGGGACAGTGTTTTAAGATATGCAAAGAATTAAATGAATGTAGAGTATGTTGCAAATATTGTTACAATTTGCATTTCTTCAATCTATCTCAGAGTTATTAGAAGTAAAATAATTAATTATTTATAATTAAAAAAAAATTATTTATGTAGGAAAATGCCGTTTCATTTAAATTCATAAAACATTTCCTTCTGATCTATTTCTATTCTTAATGTTAATAAATTACGACAACTGATGCAATACGTTTTAAATAAGATATAATTATAGCAATGCTTCTGATCTAGACGTATTATTACATTAATAACTACTTTACGTTCTTTGTGCGTTTTTGTGTTACTTTCTTATTAAATTAGGATATAATTAGATATTATAATTTTATTAACACATACAAAATTATTAAAAAATTTTGGTACCACTGATAAAAATAAAAAGTAGTTTAATTTAAGCTAGGCACTGTTAAAGTCACTAAATATATGTATACTTAGTGACTTTAGGCACTGTTAAAAGCGTGGAATCAAGGCATATGTCCTTGAAGTAGCTTATTAGCGATTCCGTGGCGCTGCGGTCGACTACAACATACGATTTATAAAGTAAAAAGGTTGCCTCGTAACTTTGCACCAATCACGTGTGCGCATTATTCGCGCGAATTGACGTCACTGGAGGTTTTGTTCAAAAATAGGATATGCAACGAAACAAATTATTAAGTTAAAAAACTAGAATTCCGTAAAATAAACTCAGTTGTCATCAGCTGTTACATGAAATAATTAAATTATACGATTTGTCATTCGACTGACGAAAATGTAAAACAGGTCTTAGGCAATTAACCTCACATTCGGTTTTTGTAATTTTTATCCTGACTGCTAGAGAAAAAATGACAACAAATCGAAATAATATATTGAATTTTTATAAAAGCACGTATTGCTGGCATTAACCTCAGGGCTCCAAGTACCGCTATGACCTCAACTAAAGTAAAAATTTGATCTTTCCTTTAAGTTACATCTCAAGGACAGTAAGTATTGTGTTGAGAGAAAAGATTTGTATTAGTAGGTAAATTGTAAATTTGGTTCCTAAACACTTTTTAGACTTGTCGACGGTGGCGCCGTCTGGTGGTTCAATAGTTTTGCCAACTGCTCTTAAGTGACATTCTTTATTCAAGTGTTTCAGGCACTTTTCAGGTTTCTGAAAAATTAAACAAATTTAAAGTGCTTAAACTGGAGAAATTCTGGTTGTAGAAAATGTATTTTGAAAATAAGTTTTAAAGTATTCAAAAATGCTTTTCAGTTTGTGTCATTAGTTGTACTGAAATTGAAAATTAAAAAAAAATATTTAGAAAAAGAGCCTCGACATCCCGACAATAGTGACGCTACTGAACTCAGTTCATGCGGGCAGGATAACCAACATAAGAGATTATAAATGTTAGTAAGTTTAATTAACCTCAAAAAACACAACTAACCACGTTTTATGCAATTAACTCAAAATCCAAGATGTGTAGTATTGGTGATGATAATTTTGAAGACCTCGATAACTTAAAGTACATGCCTTCGAAAGAAAAACCTTCATCGTGAGCAAATTATCAATTTATGTGACGTTTAGTATAACCTAACTTTTTACAGATTTTCTAAATGTAACAAATGTAGAGAAGCAGTACCAATTGTGGTTTTACGTTCGAAGGATAAATATTGTAGAAATTGTTTTTTGGCTGGTGCGACGCATAAATTTAAAGCGACATTAGGAAAACATAAGTTAATTCGTCCAAATGATCGTGTTTTGGTTGTACATAAGTGTGGGCATCCAAGTACGGCTCTTTTACACTTTATTAGGACAGGGCTCGATTTAGAGACACACAAAAAGTTACGATTTGAACCTGTTGTGTTATTTGTTGAAGGTGCCAATGTTTTTTTTTTTAATTGAAAATTGATTTGTAATGAAATTTTACGATTTTTAAGAACACACCCATTTGCCACCAACAGATCGACAAGAACTAGTTAGAAAAGTCGAAAAAGAAGTCTTGCAGTTCGAGTTTCAAATTTACTTGACTTCGTTATCAAAATTAATTACAACGAAATCTGTTGAAAGTGTATTGTATACAAATTCTGATTATTTGGAATTGTGCAAAGATGACCAAACTGCTGTGGCAGAATATGTAGACCAGCAGTTGAATGAGACAAACAAAAATGATTTTTTAAATATCATCAAGTAAATAGATAAATGGTAAAATGAAAGTAAATAATTTGTTTTTAATTTTAGGCAAAAGTTACTTGTAAAAATCGCTAAACATTTAAGTTGCAAATTTGTTTTTACACCTGAAACTTCCAGTGATGTAGCCTCACAACTATTAACTGATATTTCTTTAGGAAGAGGATCTCATGTATCCTTAAATGCGGTAAGTCGTTAAAAATAAAAACAGTAAAACAATGTTTTATTTTTTAGAGTTTTTGTGACTTTCGAGATGAATTTGTTAAAACTCTGAGACCTTTGCGTCTTTTTGACTTGAAAGAATTAGCGTTTTATAACCATTTAAACAGTTTGGAACCTATTACGTTTCGTAAAATTGACGAAAATCCTTACAAATCAGTGCAACAATTAATGAAAAAATTTGTAAATGAATTGCAAGTCAATTACCCTGCAACTGTTACAACAATTTTAAAAACCGGTGATAAATTGACACTTGCCACTAAAGTAACAAATAAGTGTGATTTTTGCAATGTAAGTATAAATTTTGTAAGTTCATTTAATTATTTTTTTTATAAACAGGCACCAATTGAGGAAGAGCAAGCAGAATTGACATCAGTTGAATCGACGCAATTTTCCCACTGGGTTTCGACCCAAACCCCTGAGGAACGTTATTTGGTATCTGGGAGGACATTTAATAATCTTAACTGTGATAATTACTGCTTTGCTTGTAAAAAGTTTTGTAAATAAATTTCGTAAATAAACGTTGACTTTAGCGCCACCTAGTTGTAGTTTTTAGTGATTTTTTCTGCGTCGTGTTGGCAGCGCACGAAGCGCATTCTCCGCCTACTTTTCATATTCCGCCGGTCAGTGACACAACTACGTGTAATGGTGCGTTAGCGTTAGTGCAGAAATAGTGCAAATTCGTGCAATTCATGAATATAAAATTCCAAGTCGAGCACAAATTAACAGGTAAACACCGTACATTCATCCTTAATTAATATTTCTCGGACAGGTGTCAAACTTTCGTTTGTTTTACCTTTATTTATCGGCATGTCGAGCAGGCGTTGGCCAGTAAAAACGAACAAAGTAGGGATTTGACATATGTCATGATTGTTTTGTAAATAATACTCATCAGTAATGGAAGAAATAAATAAAAGGCGTTTTATTTTTTACAGAATAAGGAGAAATGTTCAAGTTTATAAAGGCCAAAGGGCCGCATCCCACCGCCGAACGCCAGAAACTCCAAAAAGACCTTTTCTGTTATAGGAGGGTGAGTATGGGGTTATGAGTGGTGTTTTTGGGAAAAAGTTAATTTCACATTGTTCTATCGGTTATCTTATCAAAACAAACATTGTCAAGGGATGGGCTACAGGTGTTCCAATTATCTTTATTATTAATGTTAAATACACTGAAACTTACCTAATCTTTATTTAAGCAAAGTTGAGTAACACATCTCGGTGCAATTTTTTTGGTGATTTATTGTAATTTTATTAGTTGGGTTTAACTCGCATGGCAAGGTCAAGGTTGACCCGTTAAAATTACACATTTCTGCTCCAATGCTCATTTATAACAGATTGATTTTCAAGTGTAAGACTAGAATTGCATGTTTGTTATTAAACAAATCTTGACATACATTTTTCTGTTTTAGTTTGTCTTTGCTATAATAACAACAAAGAGAAGGAAAGTCTACAAACTTTATGTCAAAGCTCTGTCATTCGATTTTGTAATTGTTATCGGTTAATTATTGTGTAAACACTTGTTTTGTTATCGTTTCTTAGAATCAGATCGTCTCAATAATAAATTGTTATCGTGAGTCAGTCCGCTTTTGATGATAGCCAACCCTTGCGTTATCTTTGGGCGTTTGCTTGTACTTGCTTACCTGTCCTGCAGGTTTCAAACTATAATCAAATATTTAGATGCTTGTCAACTATACCTGGTCATTGTTGCCTGTTCAAAAGTATTTGCAAATGGAATGTGTTCACCCCACTATTCTGGGGTGTCCACTTTAAAACACAAACTACAAATAGTTATTTTTAAGAGTATACAGAGTGTAACGAAAAGTTGCGGACAAAGAGTAACATGAGATTTTTCAGGTCAAAATAAAGCGATTTAACCCAACTTACCTCTATATCAGCGTTTAAAAGTTACAGGACGCCAATGAAATTATTATTTTTTTGTCAAAATTAATAAAGAATTACATTATTGTTAACTTACACAAAAATACATAAAGACACTAAAACCTAAAAATTATTTGATACTCCTACAATTTTAAATACAATGATAAATGACCAACGTCCAAAATTTTGACACATCTAATTAAATTATTTTATTACTTTAAAACCAAAGCCGATACAAAAATTGTTTAAAAATAATGTAACTTTCGAATAAAAAAAGAATTACGCCATTCAGATTACGTATGGCTTAAAATGTGTCAAGTTGTTAATAAGTAAGTACTTTATAATAATAATAAAATAAAAGAAATAAAACCAAAACATGCGGTTTTGATATCAAATTGCTTGTATCAAATTTTATAACAATCGAATAATCCATTAAAAAGTTATTAAACAAAAACGAAAATAATTTTTAAACTTTGGCGCCTTTTAACTTTTAAACGGTACAATTTGGTGTAGAGGTAAGGTGGGTTAAATCGCTTTATTTTGAGCTGGGAAATATCAGGTTACTCTTTGTTCCCATCTTTTCGTTACACATTTGAAATTTCTGCAGCTATGACTAACACCTAACGGTTTTCGTTTGATTTGTGTTTTTGTTTGAATAGTAGATTTGATGGTGCATACAGATTGCAACTGTTAATACACTAGAGTGATTCATTGTAAAAAATATAATTGACTAATATTTTTATTTTTTAAATTCTTGGGAAAGCGTGACAAGAAAATTATGATTTCAGTTTTGTCATCTTGAATAAAGAATTGCACGGTTGATGATGATCATGTCTCGTTTCTTTTTCCTGTCTAATTGAAATTCTATGGATTTGTTTGTTCAGTAACCGTACAATTACACATCGGAAATTTGAACTAAAGGGGACTTGTTTTGTTATGCATACTGGTATGTTGTCGAATTTGTGGTAGATTACTTATGGGGAAATTAGATATACTTCTCGTCACGATATTTGAACTGTCGTAAATCTTGAGTCGGGTACCCGAATTACTCTTAACAATAAGACATTAGGGTGGTTGTAAATAACAATATCAGTGAGGATAGAATGCGGCAGCACGTCAGAATGGTCCGGACTTAAAAAAAATTGTTAGTATGTAGGTAATTTAAAAAGTTTTATTTCATTATTTTATTGATATTTATTTAATAAATTATAATAATAATATGCAATAGAGAAATAAAAAACAGCATCAACATAAAATTTTATTTTTATAATTAATAAATTTTTAATCAGTTTTCGTTATCGCTACTATCACTATCACCATTAATTTGTATTATAAGTTCATTAACAAATTTTTTTCTATAAACCT